CTCCTAGTTGGAATGGGCCAATAGAGGCGGTACATGGAGGGGATTTCACGGGGTCGACGGGGAGGGAGTGGGGGTAGGAAGCGATTCATTCCTTCCATCGTCACCGGAAGCTCCTCATATCGGATGATCCGGTGGAAGTGGGGGAAGTAATCGCCGCTGCAAGGGAGGGAAGCGAGGTAGTCGCGATAGAAGGAGGAGAGGGTGCGGAAAAGTGCCGCCCGAAAGAACTCATAGTGGTGGCAGGCGGGGATTGTCCCCGTGGCAACGCAGTAAACCTCTACCACGTTGCATCGCTCCCATGCAGCGCTGAACAGCAGGAGATGCCAGCAGAACGTGGGGGCAGCGGATGGAAGGGAGGCGTGGGGGTGGACGGTAGCGAGTAGGCGGGTAGAGTAGAAGTCGCGGAAGAGATGGGGAAGGAAGGGATGGGAAGGGAAGGTGACGGGGGTACGGATCTGCTCGAGGGTGAGGAAATCAAGGGGTCGGCGGGACAGTGTCCGAGGACGAAGGCCTATCGCCCGCATCGGTACGTGGGCGAACTGGGGGACGGGTGGGGCTGGAGGAGGAGGAGGATCGGCTCCGTCTCCGTCGCGCGGTACTTGAGGTGGCGGCTGCAGGGTCGCCATCTTTGGGCTTTGGCGGGTCCGGGTCCCTGGTCGGGTCGTTGCCGATGCGCAGGCTGGCTCCGCTGGCGAACTCCAGTTGTCGCTTTCCGGTGGAAATTTCTTCGCGCCTTCGCGCCGCCTCCGGATCTTCCGCCTCTGTTCCCGTGCGCGCCGCTTCCTCCGGCAAAGCTTTCCACTCGGACTCGGTTCCTTCTTCTCCTTCCTCTTCTTCTTCTTCACTCGGCTCGCCCTCACTATACTCGCTATAGCTTCCCTCCTCCGATGTTTCCTCGTCCTCGTCTTTTTCGTCGTCGTCGATCACCACTTCCTCCGCCCTTGGATAAAAGGTGTGAGGGATGATATCGTACGGCTTGAGATACTCCTGCCGCGATGGTAGCGTATCCTCGTCCCTGGGTTCCTCCAAGCACACAGTCCACTGAAGGTACGGATCCAATGATCGCTCAAAAATGTACGGAGCAGGACTGTCGTCACTCTGGGAATAAATGTCGGGTGAGAGATCGTCCGCCAATTGCACGGTCGGTGCGATGAGCTCCTGCGCAATTAGCTGGCGGTGCCCCGGCTGTATCGATCCAAAGAGAAAGCCAAGAAGATCGCCCTCCACGTTAGTCCTCCAAGCTTGGATGATTAGCAGCTCCGGATTTTCGATCCACGCAGGATGCTCGCTGGTCTGCGTCCACGTCACTTGTACTCTGGCCAAGCAGAAAGACAGCTCCTCAAAAGTTTCGCGCCACAGCCGCCAATGTCCAGGATTGATAAGAGGGACTGAAAGAGGCTCGAACGAGAAGGAAAGAGAAGGATGGAGATCGGATTGCTAGAAGGTGGGGAAGAGAGAGGAGAGACCAAAGATAGAGAGAGGAGCGAGAAGATCGGCGTGGTGCATTGGGGATGTGGGAAGGGGACGAGGGTTGGGATCGCAACTGGCCGCTAGCGTGGTGATCGGCGAATATCGCCAAGATCCGGTGCAAAGATCGGGATGAGGTTATACCCAGGTCGGGCGAGGACGTGCTGCCACACGTTGGACACTTGCTCCGTCCACTCGCACAGCAAGGTCAAGATCGTGGTATGCCACTGCGGATTGACCGAGCTGATGTCGCCGCTGAACGCCGCAACCGTGGTAATGTGGCTCGTTCTGGGAGCCGCTCGCCGATGAACTGCGGTTACCTCTGCGAATACTACTGCGTGAGAACTTCCTTCGATTCGAAACGCGGCGGCGGCACAGATACCCTCGTCGCAGAAGAATCGCATCAAAAGCTGAAGATCCGTATTGAGCCGAGGGTGACAAACTTGCCGAATCTCTAAGATGTGGCCACGTGGCTGCAACAGCTTTGCGTCAAGAACCCGCTCCGTGATGAAACTCATGGCGAGGTGGGGGAGGATGTCGAAGGACAAGAGGGAGAGAGCGGAGAGAGAGTTAGATCGTCGTCGTTCTCCTCGCTTTCCGAGGAAGAAGAGGGAGGAAGATCGGAAGGAGGAAGGAGACGGAGGTAGGAGGTATGTCGAACGATGGGGACAGAGCTATGGCTGGTGCTAGCCTCAGGCGCGATGCGCACCGTGTTGGCGCCGTTAGGACCGAGCTCGACAACGCGAAAACAGCCAGAGAACTTGGGAGCGAGTTTTCGGTCGTGTGCACATTTACGTACCTGCACTAGGTCCCCTAATTTATATTGATGTTGGGGCCCAGCATTTCCGTTCCGAGCCTCGTAACTACGGACCTGTCTACCGTGGGTCAGTTCGGTCATCCTTTGCCTTTTTCGGGCTAGCTTCGGGACGGCCCGTTCCATTAATTCGGTATACCTTTTGGCCTTGGCCTTGAGGGCTGCACGCGTGTCTCTGCCCCCTGCTTCGGCAATTTCCGAGCTACACCGGTAGTCGGCACAAGGGAGGCTATTAGTTCGAAGCTGGAAAGGGGTAAACCCCGTGGACTCGTGGGGGGTGGCCCGGTGGATTCCGACGATCTGATATACAATCTCAGGCCACGGACGCGTGTCATGTGCCGCTAAGTTCCTGCGAAGGGCGGTTTTAATCATACGGTTGGCATTTTCGGCCAACCCGTTCGACTGGGACACGTGGGGTGCCATATGTCGGAGCGTGACGCCCCTTCGCGCAAGCAGTTCTTCTACCTCACCTTTGAATTCAGACCCATCATCGGTTAGAATTTCTTCCGTATCTAGATGGGTATAGAGGAACCGATCGATGTGCTTGGCTATTTCTGCGGCTTTTCGAGTCTTACAGGGATAGACTTCGATGTATTTGGAAAAATGGTCTATTAATACTAACAGGATAGAATATTCACAGCAGTTTGGGCCAGGTGGCACGTCGATATCTGTCGTGTCCATACTGACTCGCTGAAAAGGACGCTCTACTTCCGTTGGTACTATCGTGTTTGGTCCCCGAATTGGGGCGCGATCAGCGGCACAAACCAGACAGTTGGCAACAATGTATTTGACATCATCTCGTATATTGAACCAGAACCATCGGTTCTGGTCTACAGTTGCCTCCGTGACACGTATCGCGAAATGAGCGGCCTGTTCTTCGTGAGCAGATCGGATCCAATCGTATCTTTGGAATGGATGGGGAACCGTCAACCACGCACCCGATCCATCAGTTTTATGCTTTTTCAAATGACCGTTGATCCATCGGTAGTCCCGAGATCTCTCGGTTGCCCTACGTCTGGCGTGTTTGGTGAGGTGACCCAATGATAATCCTGCTAATTTCGCCAGTAAAATTTTATCCGTCCAAACCTCCGCTCGTCAGTATTTTTTGTCGTATTCCGGGCCGTCCGTACGGGTGGCCTCGAATCGAAGCTCCGTGGGGAGTTTGTTCGTTCTACAGAGAGGACACCTCTATTCCTTGCTACTCGTCCGATATCGAACGCAGGCCCCGTGCGCACGATTGACACACGTGGCACATTCTACCCAATCGACAAACCCGGTTTTGAAAGGATGACAGTCGACCCCATAGACCCGTGCAATGCACGTGCAAAAATAACAGAATTTATCGGGGAGGGTGGCAAAGAAAGCTGAGGACGTGAGAGGAGCAGAATTAGTAGGAGACGAAGGGGTTGCGGAGGCAGGTGGGGTAGTCATGATGGTAGAGGAGGAAGGGTTGGGACTGTATTACAGAGAGGGTAGAACAAACAAATTAGTCCTCGTGTCGCTTACTGCTTCATCAGGATCTCCACTTGGTCGTACCGAGGTCCGGTCTTCTGTTCGGGTTCATTCCACGGAATCACCTCCTCGTTCTTGGGAACTTTCTCGGGCCGGTGTAGTCGGGTCAGCCCGTCCGCATTCCCGTGTCTCTCGTGCTTCCGATGACGGATGTCAAAGTCCATGCTCTGCAGCACTGTTGGCCCATCGCCCGATCATGCTAGAGTAATCCTTCGATTTCTTCAGAGCCAGCAGGGGCTCATGATCAGTTACCAGAGTGAACTTTCGCCCGTACAGGTAAGCGCGAAAGTGATTGATTCCCCAGAGAACTGCGTAGCATTCTCCTGTTGGAGCGGCGTAGTTGCGCTTGCAGGCGGGCACTGATTTGGACGCATACTCCACCACGCTCTCGAGTCCACTTGGCCCCACCTGGGCAAGGATCGCCGAAATTGCCTCGGGCTGCCAGTCGGTGATGAGAACAAAAGGCTTTTCGGGATCCGGTCTTATAAGGACCAGAGCCGAAATGAGAACGGCCTTGAGCTTGGAAAACGCTTGATCACACTCCGGCGTCCAGATCAACGAATGATCTTTACGTAGCAGATTTGTGAGGGGTCCTGCAATCGCCGCGAAGCCCTGGATAAATCTTCGGTAGTACGAGGCCAGGCCCAGAAAGGCGCAAACTTGCGTGATAGTCGTAGGCACCGACGCATCCCTAAGAGCGGCCACCTTCTGCGGCTCCGGTTGGAGCCCCTTATCACTCACCATATGTCCCAAGAAGGAAATGGTGGTCAGAAAAAACTGACTCTTCTCGAGCGCCACTTTGAAACCCGCATCCCGTAGCGTGTGCAGTGCCCATTCGATGTGCTGCACGTATCCCTCGTAGGAACTTGAGTACACCAAGATGTCATCCATGTACACAATTACGAAGTAGTTGATGATGCTCTGTGCCAAACGAGTCTTCCACACGAAATTATGAAAAGCCATGTTCATGGCTCGCTGAAAGGTCGCGGGGGCGTTGCAGATACCCATCGGACATCGAATCCACTGCCACGTTCCCTCGAAAAGCACAAATGTTGTTTTCGGACGATCTTCTTCTCGAACAAGAAGATGATGGAACCCATGGCGAACATCAAACTTGCTGAAAAATCGAGCACTCCCAATCGCATCCAACAACTCATCAATCCGGGGGAGGGGGTACACATCTTTGATCGTGATATCATTCAACTTTCGATAATCAATGCAAATGTGAATCCCTCCGGTGTTTTTAGGCACGATCACTACGGGAAAAAACCAGGGACCTATTGCGGGTTCGATCCATCCATTAGCTTCGAATTCTTTAATCCGCTGAAAGCGGCTGCTCGTTGAGCTGGCGAGTATCGGTAAGGAACGCAGCTAATGGGTGGGTGGTCTCTCGTGAGAATAGCATGTTCAATCACATAGTTAAGCCGATGTCATTATCTTCTATGCTCAATACTTCCGCGTAACTATTTAACACGCAGATTAACGATTTCCGAAGCTCCGCGGGGACTTGACCTGGTAGGGTGATTGTTGGTCCCCCGAAAATCTCAAGGGGCATGTCGATCCAATCAATCGGCCATTCCCGCCGATCATGGATACTCGAGAAAACGGAACTACTGGTGCGAACAGAGAAGACAGTTGCTATCATCTGGGACTCAGCGGGGCTGATCATCTCCGTTTCCTTAGTTTCAGCATCAGTCTCTGAACCTACCGAGGTTGGTTTCACAGTTAGCCCCGTCAGTTCCGTCATTTCTTGCATCAGATCAGGTACATCACTTACCGGTGCTTCCGCCTCCTGTTTAATCAAGGCGATGGTGGCTCCTGTCGTTAGTAATGATCTAGGCGGAAAAACAGAAACATCCAAATACTGTTTCGTTTGCTGATAACGCGTTCGTAAGGAGAGAGCTCCTTCGTACAGGGTGCGAGGGGGTTCCAGATCATCGGCCAGGTCGGATACTTGTAAAAGGGGTTCCCCGATCAGGACTGAAGGGCTAACTTGGGTCATCGGAGGCGTAAGTGCGCTGTCCGTTGAATCCATGTGGAAGCTTCGAGCAGTGTCCGGACGTACTTGGAATTCTTCGAGAATTTCGTGTTCGAAAAGTTCGACAAGGTGCCTCCATTCATCTTCGCTAGGCAGCTCTTGTTTGTATTCCTGTTCCGCGATTCTACTATCGATGTCGAAAGAAAAACATTCTTCGGGATTAGTGGATCGAATCAGCCCTATTTGGGCCGGGTTAGGGGTTTGCTTTATCGTTCGGGTGGAAATTCGCAAGGGAATAGTTTGGGGCTTTCCCCCAGTTTGCGTGAGCACCAGTTGTTTTGAATCGAAATGCAGTCGTGCGCCTACCGCCATCGCCCAAGGTAGTCCTAACAACACAGAATAGGAACGTACATCTATCACGAGCGCGTTGACAAGGACGTGTACTCGTCCGACTTTTACAGCCACATTCTCGATAATGCCCACGATGTTCATTGCTTCCTCGTCGGCAGAGACATAATGGTCTTTGCCAGATAGAGGAAGAATGGCTCCAAGTCGTCCTGTCTTTTTGACAGTGTCTAATGATATGGCCACTGCAGAAGATCATGTGTCGATAAGGGCGTCGAACGGCTTGCCCCACACCTCACAGTCACATTCCGCGCTTTTCCATAGTACCGACCGAGCTCGTACGAAGTGATCTTTTTCTGCTCGAGAGATCGTTGCTATACGTGCGGCTTCGGGTTCAGGTTTCCTTGTATCGGGAGATGCAACTTCCTCGTCTCCTTCCTTCCTTTTTAACATTCGCTGTATACGGTGGTACGTGAAGCGCGTTTGATTTTTTTGACAATGTTGTAAAAGTTTATCATTTGCATCTTCGGATATGGTGAGCAAATGTCCTACCGGGATAGGAACGCGAATATCTAGTTGCTTGAGTGTTTTCAATACATCAATGTCCCCTGTGCGAAACTGCGGACCAGGATTGGATTCGTGATCGACCCATTCGAGATCATCCGGGGCCGATCGGATCGCTCCGATCATGCCTGCGAGATGAAGATACTCAAGTGGATCGACCACGTCAGCGGCGTCGGAGGAAGAAGCTCCCGATGTCGACGCCGTTGCCAATGAGGGGAACGGTTGTTCTGGGGCATATGCCACGTGTTCTCTTCACTGGTCCGTATCCATCAAAGCGCCCACTCGTCCTTGGTTCAGGGCGACAGGGGCCGCAGCAGGTGGAGGCTGATTACGCTTGGGCTGCGGACAGTCTCAAGCAAAATGCCCGGGCTGTTTGCAGTTAAAGCATTTGATTTTTCTTGTTGGATTAGGTAGATGAGGGAACTGAGGTGCGTACCTCGGAGCAGGCGGGGCAGGCAAGAGTGGAAATGGCGCAGGGGCGGGCCGAGCAGGGGCCGGGTTGGGCTTGATTAGCCTGCCCATTATCTGTTTCATCCGCTCCATATGAGCGGCCTGCATTTGGATCAAGTTGCTCATCCATTCGGACTGCTTCGTAGTAGCCGTATGGATCGTCTGAGTAAGATGTAAGTTGGTTATGGCCGGCAAGGGGGGTTCGGGTGAGATTCCGCTTTTAACTGCCGCGATCGATTGATTCACCGGGGGAGAGGAAGAAGAAGCAGGCGGGATATCGGAAACGATCCCGCCGGAAAGGTCATGGTCGGGGCGGGGATAAAATCGTTTGACCGCCTGCAACCACGACCGCCTTTTAGTCGTTAGGTCCCGTATGGTATCTATAATATCTTCGTCTCCCTGACTGATATATTTTTTTGTATCAGCCAAGTCCAGTTCCAGTACTTTATCAATGATAGTCGATAACTGGTGTATTTTCGGTGGGACTTTTTTCTGCGGTTTCCCTTTCAATGTCGGACTTCGTAGGTGATCGATCAACAAATCTTGAGCGGATTTCTCGTCTCGCCCGGATTTGTCCAACGTGGTTTGAAATCGATCCACAAAATCGGGCAACAATTCCCCTGGTCCTTGGGGCCAATTTTTTAGCACGTACCAGGCGGCATCTTCACTGACCGTATCGAATCGAGCCAAGAAGGCTTGTTTGAAAGTATTCCAATCTACCCATGTATGTTTTCTAAACCAGTCATGCGACGTATTGCGGAGTAGCAATGTCAGAACGCGGGGAAGATCGGCGGCGCTGTAGTTTTGAGCTTCGACAGCTTCCAGCCAAGCCTCGGGATGGGTATGGTTAGGGAAGAAAGGGAAGGGGGCAGGGATGTTAACGATCACTCTAGTACCGTCCACCATTGGTATTGAGGGTGCAGCCGTACCAGATTGAGACCTGGTGACAGGGCGATCTCGATGAGCCACTTGAGGATCTCTCCTACCTCTCACCAGTTCGACTTACTATCATCAGAACCGATACGTGTCGGCTCCGATACCAACCTCAAGCCCTGTGTTGTCTTTTGTTCGGAGTGTTAGGCGTGCGGAAAGAGGGCCCGAAAAACAGCAAGATGGGGTGTGCCAAGGATTTTTGGAAATTGAGTGTGGGGACACAGACGGAGCTGAAATCCCCCGTGTTGGTCCGATGAAGCAAGTCGATTGCTTTCGCGCATCGCGGAAAGCGCGCGCGGGCACGACGCGAAAAGAGAAAACTCCAAATTCAATCCAAAAAGTATTGTCGGGCTTCCCACCGGGCTACAGCCCGTCGTTTAGAACGGAAAGGCTTTGGCACGCTTCGCGTGTCCCGTTTTCGTATCAAGTCTGGTCGCCGTTCGTCGGTCAGTTCCGAGTCTGACGTGAATGGTCTCAGCCGCGTGGATCTTTCTTTGTGCTCGTCTTCATTCCGCACACGGTAGTGGAAACCCCTGGATTCATAGCGCTCAAAACGCTGGCATTCGGTGCATAGAGTGCGCGGCCAGTGGGGTTCTAYTGYCGTCCACGRGATSACGATCAACTCGTTAAATGGCAACAATATCGAGTAAGGTGGGAAGTGCGTATCGATAATGACAAATCCAGCCTCTACGAACCYTGAACAGYGGTTGGCCGGAGGGAAGTAGTATCGCCCRYCRATCTGTGCGACARCTTCTCGTACGTCCCACTYGCATACACGTGTCCTTTCCTCGTTGTAGGGAAAAGGCCGTGTTGAGGCGGGAGGTGCAGGAGGTTGGCGCCCGATCAAAGGGTGTTTGTCAGTCCACATGTCAATCAATTGCAAAAACCTCGAGACGTCCTCATCAAAAGAAAAGAAAACACTCGCGCAACTCACAATCAATCCCTTTCGACATCRGCTTGATCRTGCAYATAACCRAGAGACCGATCCGCAGCTCAGGTTTAGTGAGCCAACGCGACGTTGATCSCAGRCGCCTTGTTTCTCCAGRCCGCCCCGTTGATCGGTGGCAGATGTCGTGCAGCATAAGGCAGATGGCATGCGCAGTGCATTCAGAACTACAGATCTAAACACTCTTGCATTCTCGGACAAAATCCCGACGACCATCGTYTAATCAACRCAAAAGAAAGTCACTCATTTCCATACATACATTCACTGTGGAAGGTGCGAAAATGAGACATGCATATGAAAAGACGGGTTGCTTGAACAGTACGCACGCATCCACCGTTCACAAGACAAAAGGAWCAATYCCTCGTCATCTGGGGATTACCCAGGAAACTAATGGAAGAGTTTCGGAAGAAGTTCTTTCACGYTGAAGAGMACACAGATTCATTCAAAGGAGAGACAGACATCGAGACACATCATYATTCAAGGATAGAGGAGAGAGAGGRAGGTGAGGGAAGAGAGTTGAGATAGAAGATGGYACAATCCAAAAGATGGAAGTTCGGCGTTGYCGCCGTGCACTCACTCYAGAGATAAGGGTCCGCAACAACAAAGGCGCATTCGYCGTTAATTCCAATATGGCCCCAGGCCAATCACTCACTCCACTCCAATCATCGATCCTCATACCCGCACTGACGATCCCGAYCGTCGCGTGCTAACTTCCACCRCTGAGATCGTCACCCCGCTGTCGTAGACTCGACACGGCTCGCCCAGATCCCACAGTCCGTCGTKGCGATCAA